CCGTGAACCCGTACTGGGGAATCGACGAGTCGGCACCCGCATGCCTATAACTTACGGCTTGTTTTCTCTCTCAAGTGTGTAGCCTGTTAGTATGTGTGACGCCTACTACGACTCTGTCTACTCTCTATACTCGACTCACTATACTCTCCTTCGTTCCTCAACGTCACCGGGCGATTTTATCGGAGAATGTCGGATGGTTATTAGAGTTATTTCGACAGCAGTTTTAATATTTAAACAAATGGAACAAGCTGATGGTCGGCGTTCGATAAAATTTGTTTGGAGAAATTAATTCGTTCATTTGTCGATTAATTACCTGTTTCTTGTATTTCTAGTAAGAGTATCCTGTAGGTAAGTCCAGAAGCAAGTACAGCAAGAAAGTATACTTGGAGTTGAAGTTGTCTTATTATTTAAATGTATAATTTCTTTTTAATTATTAAAAAGAGAAATTATAAAATTCGCGAATATTTAATTCCGACAGTATACACACATTTTATACTAGCTGTAAGGTATTCAGTAAAATAAACAATAAGTAGAGGAAAGTCTTCTATCATGAAATAGACTCTTGATACGAGATAGCGGAGTTTCCGCTCATTAAATTAGTAGGCGTCATTTGTTAGTTCCATCATAAAGTTGGAGTAAAATTTGTTTAGTAGAAAATTCATTGTTAGATCGTGTAATCGTTGCGAAAAAAAATTTGCGATTGAATTTGGATATTGAAAACCTACTATCTCATATTAGAAGCTTATCTTATAATAGGGGACTTTGCTCTATATATGTATAATATGTACTCTCTTCCTTTATCAATAATCCGATAAAAGGATTTCACTACGAAATAAAGAAGGTAACGTGGCAGTTGAAAGAAAAGTATACAATTAAAAAAACAATGAACAGAAATAGCACGCAGTAATTTATTCGGGTTTTCATTTCAAACGATCGACGCGGAATCGGGAGTTAACCCTCTTGGTCGGCGTCCCGCGGTCTTTTGCGACGGATCCCTCGGGAATCCCGAAATCTCTTAAGAACGAAATCACGCTCGGCGAGCAGCGCATCGCTCCGGGATAATTTCTCGCGTGCAGTAACGCTCAATACGAGGATCCCTCGGCTTCGGACGGAGTTTCAAGTCTCGCAGTATTCTCGAAGGAGCCCGAAAATCCTCTCAGGAAGAGACGCCAGGTCGCCTGTCGATTTCGATTATCTGCCGGTTCATTTAACTTCGTCTTCTTGCCGGCTTTTTATTTCGTATCGCACCATCACTTTCGACAAACGAGAAAACGCCGATATCGTCGTGAGGACACTCGAGGAGATATTTGCTGCTCGTTAATAACGCGCTTGAAGTAATTCACGAGTAACTAATTATGCAATTTGAAATGTCGATCATATTAAAAAATTAACGTAGAAAGTGTAATAACGTGTTTTGGTGAAATGACATTTTTTTGGCCGAATTAACTTGACGTTAGGAATAAAGCATGAGTGTATAAATAAAGGGTTCATTTTGATATAAAGCTGACTTGCATATGTAATTGACTGTGATAATATTAAATTTAACCTAGTTTCAATTAAATTACGAATAATGTAATTTTCTCTTAAATAATTTCTTATTTTTAATGGCATTTGCGTCTATGAAAAGTAATTTAAATCAATCTTTATATCAATGATTCAAATATACATTAACAGTAAATGATAATAATAATACTTTGATATATATATGTACTTATATAAAGCATTGCTTTTTAAAAATATGTTTTGTCTTTTATACACTTGACATATTTATGTTCGTCAATTGTATAATATAGAACGATAAAATAAGAATGTTCCAGTTTCGTCATCTCTTACTTATAGACTTTTTCATTAATTCTTTTATCAAATAAAAATCTTTGTCTTAAGGGGGAATTTACTGTATACTGATAATGAAAAACTTAAATACGCAATAAATATCTTACATAGTAATATATTTTCAACAAATGGAAACGTAATTTTTTTCCAAAAGAGATTTTAATATCTCAACAGAATTTAGATAATGGTTAGATAACGGTCGGAATTAAATACTCGATGTGCAACACTAATTTATATTTGTTTGTTAATTGGTTGAAATATTGTTAGAGTTATTTTACTTGTCCCTAGCTGTCTTTAATCTTGGCCGCTTTTATTTAATTTACATCCTTTCCGGCGTTGTTCCTAAAAAAACAAAAGTCAGATTTTTATAAAATTGCCAGGAATGCACGAGTACATAGATTAATTGGAACGTAGAAAATGAATTTGACAACACGGAGCGTTGCGTCTACAATTACGCTCATTTATCCTCGTGTTCATCGTCTCGGAACATCGATAATACTCGATATCCATGCGATAATTTATCTCGACAAACAGAAGCTGGTGCATTATCTACCAGCGAGATATCGAGCCGAAGTCTCCTCTCTGCGATAATCCTCCGTGCACCGCAACTACCACCACTATCATCACTATCACCCATCACGACACTTTACCCCACAACAACAGCACGCAGACCTCGCACGTTGCGTACCGATGGCGAACGCGCACCCTCACTCACCCCGTTCTCGTCCGCGGCTCTGCTTCTGTGTTACAGAGGTCCTGCCCTCCTCCACCTCCGTAGACCTGTCGGGCACGGATTCGGCCCTGTACCCGTTCGACCCGCAGCAGGAGAACTACCAGGAGATCTGGTTGCCGCCGACCAGTATGTACCCCTATTTTCTGTTCCCCGGGACCGCGCGCACCCCGCCGTACTACGATCCCGACAGCACGTACGACATACGGGAGCCCGGCGACCGCTACCAACACCACTACCGTCACGGCGATCGACATCATCACCAGGAGGCGCCGGAGCTGCCCGGCAGGCCAGCCGTCCTCATTGTCGAGGCGTACGACCCTCGGACCGATTCGGACCGCTATGAGACCAATATAAATCGGTTCGAGGATCGCGCGGCGACCTCGCGTCCAGGCGTTGATTATCCGGATCGGTCGACGGATGGATCTTCTTCCTCCTTCTCCTCCTCTTCTTCTTCTTCTTCTTCCTCCTCTTCTTCTTCTTCTTCTTCGTCTTCGTTGTCCAAGCATGATCGCGCCTCCGGCACAGTGCACCTGCAGCCCCAAAGCGAGCATGACGCGCACCCGCACCAGCATCGGCACCATCACCACCAACAGCACCAGCACCATCACCGTCAGCACCCCGCACTACCCGCACCGCCGTCCGTCGTCGCGACGCTGTCGTCGTCGTCGGCGGGCTCGTACGCGCCGGCGACCGCTCGTCCCACGCCTACCGTGTTGGACGAGCCGTTGGGGGCCCACGGGCCCGGCCATGCCGAATTGCCCCGGCTGCCGGCCCCGAGGAAGTTTGCGCCTAGGCCCACCTACGAGCACCGCGCGATCTTCGACCGCGCCGACGACGACCTCGATGACCTCGAAATCAGGCCAGCCGCGCCGCCCGTCGATCGGTTCTTCGATCTCCGCGAAGAGTTCGACGATCAAGGTTCGTACCGGGCCTACCGGCACGTACAAAGGGAACCACATTGTGCAAAGCCGTCGAAAGACGCGTCCAGAGGCACGTTAGATGTCTCAGATGCTTTTCGCTCGCGCGAGTACGTCGGGCACTGTGATGGGCGCACTCACCTACCTTTTTTCCCATGTTATTCCGACAGAGAGTACATTCGCGGAAAATTCTAAATGGAAAAGAATGTGCCGGCAGTCTCGACAAGTTTTAGAGATTGAAGCTGTTGCTTAATTCTAGAGAGACTGAACTGTTATAGTTTATAACGATAGCAAAGAAACTTGCAACTTTTCATTGCTTTGCTTACTTTTATATTTAATCACAAACATGAAAAATGTATGGAAATGTGTTTGTGATACCCATCCACATCCCAGCGTAGTCCGCTTAATCATTTATTAACAACAGAAGAAACTAATTATTCATGAGAAATATACATACATGTATGTATAACGTAGGTAAATTATGGCCATAAGTGCTCTTACGAGAGAATAATACTTGGAATTTATATGCCTTTGACATATCGATCATAACAGTGAATTAATCCATTTTTAATATATCTAGGTAAAACGACAAGCATTGAAAGCTCAAGTTAATCATTAATATTATTTGTGTTATACATTCTTTCTTAATTCCCCTTTAACTTACTGTATGCAACGTTTTCAACGTTTCAAAGCTGTCCTCTTTTTTTTCATTACATTAAGAACGTCTCTCGTAAAACTTTTTAATTATTCTATGCAGTATTTTACTGTGCAGTAATAAAAATTGTAGAAGCGAATCAAATTTAAATAATCAAGAATTCTCACATATACATAAATGTTAGAGCGAAATAATTTTTACTTTTCAATAGACAAAGAAATAATTGTTAAGAAATTTAGATTATACACGAAGTGTACTCAAGTGTTCACGTTACTGTTTTTCAAAATATGTTTCCAAATTTTTTAGTAACCTAGTATCTATATACATTTCTTTTTACCATGGACTAAGTAAAAGAAATAAGCTGCAATTAGGAATACAGCTAGCAACACACATTTCTTGTTTATATCTTTATTTAACAAAATTGAAGTTTCATTCAATGCGTCGAATGCGTTTATGACAAGGATAAAAAATCGTGATTAATCGTTTGTCTCGCGCTCACTTCAATGCCACTACAGTAACCGAGAAAGATTTTTCAATTTCCGTCGTATTAATTTCTCAGGTTCTTTGCGTCGCGCGCTGCGGCTTCATACGCAGTAAAATTCCCGCACAAATATTTTCGCGTATCTCACAATTTTCCAACGATCTCTGAATGCAATTTTGCAACTCGTGACTGCAGCTGCAATTTCGAATAAACGCGATTCCCCCAATGATTTCTAAAATTGCGCACAATCGCGATCTTCCTTCCGTATTTTCTCCATAAGATAGTTTGAAGAAAGATTCTTTTTAATTTCTTCTATGAGGATGGATTTATTTTGAAGATTGCACTTTTTGCGCACAACTTGTTACGCCCGGTCATTTACAGTGAAGGTCATCGCCCATCCGGATAATTCCACCAGCTTCGAGGTAATTGAGTCGCAGCTGGAAAATCCGTTGATCGATGCCAAGCATCGGGATCTGCTCAACATGAAGCAGATCCCCATTCCGGGTGGCCATCATCATCGCAGTCATCACAAGAGGAACCTAACGGATGATTTTGAACGTGAGTCTCTCATAAGCTTATTTCTAATTAACCCGGATTATTTCTTACAAATGAAAAAGTACGATTCTTATGTGCGTTAAAAATGGATCCTTCCTTGCACAGCGAACGAGTGCCGCTAATTCAATCTAAATTTTACAAAGAAAAATTAATCAGTTGAACAATTTTTTAATAATAAAAATGCCAACTGCGATGTTGAAAATATGTTGAATATACGTTGATGTGGTTTTTATGGTTAACAACGATTTTAAAATGCTTCATAATATATTTATTTATAAAATATACGTAACAATTAGAAAAGTTAAATTTTTTAAATTGTTTCCCTCGACGTCACCGCGAACATTCTTATACGACGAGATATGTGAATGGCGGGATTGTCAGCTACCGCTTTCTTCGATTCCAGCACGAATTGTACGCAATCAACGCGAGTAATAAGGTGCCTGATGCGTGATCATAAATTTTTCCACTAAGATGATCTTTCTTGCCGGAGGCGGCGAATTATGTCAAAAATGTCATGACGTCGCTGGTGCGCGTCATGGAAAATTCCATTTGTTTTAATGCGCCGTGCAAATTCATATTTTCCTGCAAACTGCTCGCGATGGCACTCCGTTGATGGATAGTCGAGTTTCGCGTGAGGAAAAATCAGGGAAAGGGGTTACATGAGACTGTTTTTGTGCATGCGACTTTTGTTCATACACTGCGGTAATTGTCAATGTGTTTTGACAAAAAGGAGCAAAATGTTTTGTGCACCGCAAATGCTTTTACTTTTCGACTTTGCAACGCACAATGATTGGATTATTACTTACATAAAAAAAATGATTAGGTCTAGATTCATAACTATTACGAATTAATAACGCGTGGAAACTTGTGTGAGTTTTATATATGCTAGAATAAGTCATGAAAATAAGATATCGTTTATTTAATAGAATTCTCTTCGATATTTTTATATATACTCCAATATATACTCCATTTTTATATGCTGAAAAATGGGTCAATTCAAAATACAGGAAAGTTATACATATACTCTTCGGGAAAAAGAGGAAGGTCCAAAAATTGGTTGTTATTCATCCGAGAGATGAATGTGATACGATAAACATTTTCGATGGGAATCTGTTTATATATTGCAGATAGGAAAAGTATACTGGGAGAGAGTTTATGGTATAACACGCAATTCGCGGGAATATTTCGTTGAAAATATTAATTACATCGCAGACTGGTAAATCTTCGCGTGTCCGAAATAATTTTTTTGTATTTCGGAGGGGCAAAAAGCACGCCGATTTCAATATATCGAATAGTGATAACCAATTACAATAAAAATGCTTCCCAGTGAGTGGACCCAGTGCAACGCGGTGAAATGAAATTCATTAGTTTCCGGGCAACAAATATATTTCCGCGCGCAAGTTTATTGTACGTCGAATAAATAAATTGCTTCACTTGGTATCGCGATACTCGTGAAACCTGATTTTTCACATTTTACCTCTAATAGAAAACATTTCATTTGTTTTATTATCCGTTTATGTATATATATATATACATAACCATACTTACATAATCAACATCAATGAGAAATTAGAATTATTTGAAATATTTTATAAAAAGTTAACGTATGAGAATACAAATAGCGATATTCTTAACTGCACTCTGACATAAGTTAAAAAAGGAAATTATATAAACACGAGATATGACTATTTTCACCAAATTTATAATTATGAGGAACTTTGAAGAAAAATATGTTTATGCAAATATACAGGGTTTTCGTAATAAGTGGGACCTACTTCGTATTCGCAGAAGACATAAAAATAATGATAAAGATATATAAACGTATATCCTATTCAATCTTGTTCCCAAAGTGTAGTCATGTTTATCGCAATAATGTAACGATTCTCTAACAAAAGAGTCGTGCAAGACTTGCTGCACGTTCAGAAATCCATTAGATTTTCATTTGTGAGTCACTTGAAAACAATTGTTTATTTACAACCCATTGTTCAACGTTGAAGTACTTCGTCACCGTATACAAGAATACTGCCGACGAATCCGATACATACCTGCGTGGGTATTTTTTAAAGAGTGCATCGCATAGGTGCGTATATAAAAGTAAAAATGTAATAATTTGCGATTAGTCAAGATAAATGATAGAGCGGGTAAATAATAGGAATTAATCTTCGGATTTTGACGATCGCGATTTCCCGACGAGATGAAAGAGCGGACGATCGATCGCATCTCCCGCGTAATATCTCGCGAAGATATCACTTCAACGAGTAAGATTTATCGCGGCGAAAGTTTAATTTAATTTCAACTCTCTCCCCGGTTGCTCTCATTTCCTGCCTCTACTCGTATCTCTCTCGCGCGTCTGCATATTATTTCTCGAGCCGCCGGATTTGGAACTTTAATCCGCCATCGTGCCCAAGATTTGCCCAAGTTTTCGTCGTATTCGATATTACACGACGGTTTTACATCGATCGCCGTTTCCCAGATTCGAGAGAAACGCGTCTGGACGAGCAGGTGCGCTCACTCGGTATCTCGCTCGTCGTTGATTAAGAGGAGCAGAGTTTCAAGAGGCCAATTTGTTCCTTACGTCGCGATTAAAAAAATTTTTTTTATTATTTATCTAAGAACTGTTTCTTCGCGTTCAATCTATATTGAGCGAAATAAAAGTAGCACAAGTCTGTGACATTGGGAATTTATAACTGTCAGAACGACAAAGTATCTTAACGGAATTTATAATTTTCTATAAAATTAAATTTACTTTTCGTTTATTTTGTTTCACATTTTAAAGGAATGTTAAACATTTTCTTGGCAATGCAAACTTCAGTAATTTCAATCTCATCTATCAATATCTCTACGTTCTAAATGGCAGTTCTCAAAGCTATGCTTTAAAATGAATATAAATTTGTTTTCTGTTATCACTATGACTTGATAAATTTTTAAAAAATCTTTTTTTACAAAGTCTAACACCATTTGAAATAGCGACAGCTGATAGTATTTTTTATGAACATTGATACATTGATACATTAGTTTGCACATTGTAATTATTTAGAATAGTGTATTCATTTAGTCCCGTCAATAACGATTTTATTGCTACGTTTATATTCATGTTTATTTATTTGTACATTGCCATGCTCAAGGGAATGACAAACGTGGAAAAAAACAAAAAAAAAGAAATATACCCAAAACATGGACGCCCACGTATTCAGATTGATTCATCGAAATTCTGCCATGGCAATTAATACTGTGAAAAACGAGCAATAATAAAAGTTGCATCCAACAATCGTACTTTGTGGATTTTTTTGCTCGTCGATTATATACTAAGTTTTGTATTGATTAATTAACATCGCGATATAATCCATCGCTAACCGATATTTAATCACGGATGCGCTCAAGAGGCCGGAAGAGAATTAATTAGGAACAGTGAGAAGTAAGACTTAACGACTTGTTAATCTTTTCTGTTTTAATTAATTGAAACATCGTGTGTTTCATTTTTCTTTTTGCGAGGTTTCAAACATATTAAATCATTTTTACATTGTTTTGCAAAAATTCAATTATTCGCACGAAATAAATACTTGTTGAAATAATACTTTTGTTACATGATAATATTTTCTCCTGAGCCTATACAATTTTGTTAAAATAAAACGAAAGGTCTGATAAATGTGAAAATACTAATGTTTCGAAGCCAAAAATATTACAATAAAGTTTTTTTTTAAACAATTTTCGAACTGGAATTATATGTATATGGTCCAGTGATTGCCTTTTCTTGAAATAACAAATGTCACAATATGTTGGAGATGACATAGCTAAGTCGTTTCAAATAAACGAATTACGCTAAACTATGGGACGAGTATACAATAAACGTAGAGTAAAATATGCAAATTACTCTTATTGGTTAAAATAATATCAGTGTCGGAAGACTTTTTGCTTGACTTGACGCCACGGCTAATCATGAATAACACCGCGATTAGCCGGCGTTTTTGGCACCGGCGTGGATCTTGTTTCTCCGCAATTATTGCTGTAACTAATTGCCCGCGCGGCCAATTAACGTCAAATATGGGAAATGCAATTGCGATCGGGAAACGCCGCCCGCTCAGCGCTTTGCGCGCTTCTTTAACGCGATTTTCTCTCAATTACAGCTGCGCTAATTACTCGGTTGGCCGATCAATTACGGATATTCATTGCGGTTTGAAATATATATAAATAGCGGATAAAATCGAGAGACCGCGCTCTACGGTATCGGACTAATGATTAATTAGCACGTTGGCTCGCTCATCAATTGTCACGTTTGATGGATTGTGTATTATCAATTTTTTATCTTACATATCAGAATAGCTCAGTTAGCCATTTCATTAAAAATGGCTAAATATTATATTATTAAATTTAAAATAATAGATTAAGAAAGAAGATTATATGTCTGATTCTTGTTTTTTGTGCACAATATTCCTCAATTAAACAAACAGAGGTGTTTGTTTAATTGACTGCATTTATACTTGGCTGAATTGAGTTTACTGATAAATTAAATTAAAAGATTTAGAAAGTTGAATATATTGTAAAATGTACAATAATTTAATTCAATCGCTTAATTTTATTTCTGCAATAAAATATAGCCACTGGTTAAGTGAAACATCTAATGGCGTAGAAATTACTCAAGCGAAAAATCGTGTTGAAAATAACAATAGTTTTATCAAGATTACACCTGTTTCAGTCCTGTCACCCCATACGTTAAAATTACATTCACAGATGACTTATCTCAGTAGCAATTTATCTTATTTAATTTTTACACATTTAATATTTAACCTAGAAGCGAGCGCGCATATGATGAGAGCTTTCCAACCTGCCGACACGGTTGAATCACTCGTTAAAACGCGAAGAATAACCACGAGGCAAATTTCGTGCTCGGTGAATTCACTCGCAGAGTTTGTTAGAGTGTTATAAATTTCAGCCGATTTCGTCCGATTCAACATCGAAAGCTCGCGAATGAATTAGCCGCCGCGAATAAGAATTTAGTGGTTTTGAGTTCCGCGAGTGAGTTCTAGCGAGCGGAGAAGTGAATTACCTCGTGAATCTTGATCCTTTTAAGAACCGCGTTCAATCGTTAGCGTTGCGTAAGGTCGGTATATTTCGTCAGTTTAACGTCGCACTGAATATGCAACGCGGACAGACAAGTCACGAGCGTCGACGTTGAACTTGCAATTTCGTTAACCGGCGATTTGCATTCCCGTCAACTTTGCGATGCACGACGACAAAAATCATGACCGCGAACTTGCGAGACGTATTCACGGCTCCGGTTATTTCTCGGCCAGTAATAGATGAAATTTAATGGAAGTCGCAGGGACATGAAGCTAGACACAAACCGCAACCCGGGGTTTTGCCGAGGTTTGGGGTGTCCTGACAGCTCACGTTTCATCGTCCTGCGTTTCTACGTGACATGTCTGACTGATGGCGGAGTTTGCGGCTCATTTTATGAAACTTTATTAAAGTAGAACGGATTTGTTGACGCCATAGGAACCCTTCGTGTGAATTTCTTCGCTTCAAACTGATTGAACACGAACATATTAATCGAATCAGTATCGACCAATCGTTGTTTTTGGTATCGACTGTGATAAGCATCAATAATATATTTAACTGCTTTCTTCATTAAATCTTTCTTCGTTTATCGTACAACTAACAAATTAGATAACATTTATAGTTAAAAGTTATTCTAACGCGCAAAGTCGTCACTTTAAAAATATTAAGTGTCAAGGAAGTATAAAAAATCAATTCGCAAAACACTATCGTCTCGTTTTACATAATTTGTGCGTCACGGATATTTCAAATTGATATAAAAGAATCGTTTACCAAAGATATTCTCACTCACGAAGGAAATGAAAAAAACAAACTCTATGTTCGACGCCGTTCGCCTAAGTGCTGTACATAGAATAAGCACGTGCTTCACTCGTGGCGTTTTAGCCGTTTTCCATTTTCCATGAGCAAATGATCTCGTTGGTTCGAGAGTCTAACGACTCACCGAGCGAGTTTCTGCATCCGCGCACCTGTGTCACCGAAAAGGTCTTCACCTGACCGAGGAGCCACGATATATCTCGCGACGCGAAGGCGAGCTCGACATCGATCTCGGAAAGCCGGTGCGACATGAGTTCCAATTACTGCCGCTCGAAATTGCCCTTGTTCTTCTACCTGCTACGCGCCGATCGGCTACGAAATTCACGATATCGATATTCTATCGGAAGTGCTTAAAGTGAGCTTCGATTTACGTTCTGACAATTTTTAGAATCGCTTCAATTCTGTCGATATCTACGGTTTACATTAATATCTCCCTCTCTATCCCCTTTTTTCTGTGATTATTGTTTATTTAATATTAAAAAATAGAGAAAATTAATCTCCAATTTCGATTAAAAAATTTATCACTAATTTATTTAATATACCAGAATTATTTTAAAAGAAATCAATAATTTAACATAATAACGTTGGTTTTAATATCAATGTATTTTAGACCTCAGTTTTTACGTTAATTTAAAGAAAAACAAATGGGACAACAAATTTTTCATGTTCTGCACACATTTTATATTTGTCTGTATTTTATCTTTATCATAATATTCAGTAAAAATTATCTACCTTAATTGTACGGACTTATTTATCCGTGCGTTTCTATTAAAACTTTAAACAGCTATCAGCATCTCTTTCTTCCCATTTAAACAAAGACGCATATACAGATAACCCACGAACGATTCAGGGGTGCGATTAAGGCCTCCAAAGGGATGGAGGGGGAGTTAGGGGTCGCTCGTTTGTCTTAATAAAGTGCGTCGAAGCCACGCTCTTCATGGTGGTTGACTTATGGCCAGTCATCTGGCGGGGCGGGGAATCTTCTTCTCATGGGGAATCCTGGACCCTTTTTTCCCCCCCCTTCGTGTCGAAAAGGTACTTTCGTTCTCCCCTCCCGATATTCACGGACACCCCCCGCGATCGTTAACCCCGTCGCCGGAGTCCATCAATCGAGGAGAGGATGTTGGTTAATGATGGCGATCATTCGTCATCGGGTAGATACCCATCCCTCGACCGGTCGCTTGTCGAATTTGAGTCTGTTACGGAGCCAGAATTTCCAACACGGATTTCCACGGTCGCTCATTGTTCCTTTAGCAAGAATATTTAGCGATCCATGTGTGTGTAGAAAATGCCGTATCCATTTGAAATCAATATGAATATCTAATGAGACTCGTTGACGTGGAAATAAGTTTAATCTAAAGTTCGGGACTTTTAATAACGTTGCATTTAAGTGACGAAGAAGAATTGCCCCTTTGTCCTGATTTGGATTCATAATTCTTATGGAGCTGGAAATAAAAGAAACGATAAGCATCGCTCTCCTCTACGGTGCATCGACGTACTCGCTGCGACGTTGATGATTTATCATTTATTTGTATGCACCGACAAGAGAAAAGTGGGTCTCCCTAGTGACTTGTGTAAACAGTGCATTACGGATAGAAACAGATGGAACTCTACCATGTTTAACTGTGCTGATGTCGATCTCTTTCGAGGAAGAGCACCGCGCACATCGCTCGATGCCTACGATCGATAGTGGAAGCTCGTGTTTCAATTTGTGCTGGAAGAACCTTCAACGTCGCGCGTAAAATAGTAGATATATCCATGATAAATGATGCTTTTCACAATTTATCAAATGCGGCCGCGCCTGATATACAATTGCATTACACGGCGCTAATTGGAAAAGTTTCGCCGGCTATAATGAACATTTTACCTGTTATTTTTATGCGCATACCTGATCAATATAAATTTAAAGTAAGACATTAAACTATACTCGTCATCATGTGAGTCGAGATAAATTAAATTCCGCGGTATCTTCTATTCCCCCTGCAAATGTCAAGCTTAATTCTATCTCATCACGTGGACTTCTTGCTTTTCAATTTGTCATAACGGAGAAACGTTGGAAAAAAGTACAATACAGCTGGATTTTATATCGGCTGTTAGGTTTTCACAAACGTACCTTTCGTCCTTAAAATAGGAAAATACATTTAATCCCCCTGTTCTTCGCCCAACGGGTGAAACATGCGAATCATATGAAATTTTCACACGTAAAGAGATTACGGTTAAACCCCAGCTTATCCTTAATTATAAACGATGGGATCAGCACTTCCCATCCGCTGACACGTTGCTTATTTCACAGAGGCGGGCATGGAACCACCGTCCTCCACGTCGGACATCGACAAGATCCAACAACCGGTGAAACTGATCCTGTCCAGCACGTGCCACCACGCTTACACGTCCTGCAAGTAAGTTCACGAGTTCTCGTTGCAGCAACGGAGACCGAGACCATCGCGGACGGAACAAACTGCACACGGAACGCTTTTTGTTTTTGCTCAGAAACGATCCGGAATGCAAGAATCTGCTGGAGCCCGTTCTGAATCACTGCGACTCAACAACCTGCGCGAGGAACGAGTGCATGGAGGCGTTGCAGCACTTCTACAAGACCGCCAATCACAAGCATTCCGTGGAAATTGCCTTCTGCCTCTGCAGGTTAATCGAATAGACAGTAATTCCTATTTTTCTTCAACCCTTTAGCTACGGCTGAGCTGGATGCGAGGCTGTACCGCTGTACGCACAGCTCGCGGCCGCGGAAGAATTCGGTGCGAATGTTCCAAGCATAAATGTAGATCAATTGAGAACATTCTCGTTTTGTAGCTAGAAAATTTCGACGTACAGAAAAAGCCACTATAGCGGCATTTTAGCACAAAAGACCGTTTAAAGAAAAGCTATTATATCGGCGTTTATTATAGTAGTTAAAGGGTTAACATTATTATTCTGATATTTAGAGCGCATAATTGATATTTATTACATAATTGGTACAATACATCTTCAATTCTTTTCTTTTCTTTCTTTATAAGCCTTTGTCGAACAAACTTATTCGATCTCTTTATGTTTTCTTTTTTATGGCTGCCACACGTTGCCACAAAGTATATACTTTATTGTTTGGAAAATGTATCGCATGTTCCGTGTGCCTTGCTAACAGCGCTCTATCCAGCAGAAAGACTTTCTATCAACATAACTGTACTAGAGCGATTGCCCCTTTTGGTTATGTTCTGTCGGCGCTAAATGTTTAATTGGCCGTCCATTGTCGTGAGAAAGTCGCGTTAAAATATTAACGCGGGGGCGCTGCGCAAGCGACTGTGTCGCGACACAATGTGCGACGCAACGTGAATTAATAACGGATTATTGTACCGGGAGCGGCGCAGCTGCAAGCGCGAAATGACGAATCAACTGTCGGCGCCGTCGTAAATTAATTTGGAATTAATCGAAGGACGCGCGTTGTTAACCCGCGTTCTAATTACGCGCGCGCGCGGGCGCGCACGTACACGCCGCGCCGGCGAAAAATTTTTCGAAATCCGGCATATCAGGCAATTGAAACCGGAGCTGCGGATCGGTGCGCGAAACAATGCGCGGCCCGCTATGCATATGCCGAGTAGTGCGCGTTACATTGCATCCGGCCGCGCGCTGCCGATATGCCAAAAAAGAAAATGCAAACGCGTTTAACTGACAGAAATGCCAGATCATATTCTCGATGCATCCCCGCGTCATGCATCCAGCTGAACTTGGATGAAGGTAATAATAGGCGCAATACAAAATTGCAGAGATGAATAAAGAATAGAGAGAACGCATGATTGCGATCGATTGTTCTCGGTGAATTATGAAAATTCGAAAGTAAATTGAGGCAACTATAAGTCACAATCCCTTTTGTGATCAATGTCTTGATATTTTTTTTTAAAGACTTCCCTTGATTGCAACCGAAAGATAAAATCGTTGAATTTTATTTGCTGTTACGAAGTTTTAATCCGGTTGTAAAGTTAAAGATTGGAAAAGCACTTTTAGAACATAATTAATACGAAGGGAAATCATGAGATAAGAAAAATTGGAAACAAAGTTAATTTACATTGATGTTTACAACTTCGTGGAAGGTTAATCGAAGATTTTAGCATAATCCCGATTCGAACGAGTAAGGGATTTTAATGATCATTAAATTATCTTCTTAGATAATAGATTATCCTTCTGCTTTTATTATAGCGTAAAATGTTTATTGATTCAATCTAATCTCCTCTTACGATAGTCGCGAATTCTTCTGCAAAAGTATTTTATATTCTTGACAATTGCTTGAAAGAAATTAATCTGCAGAAATTGCATACGTAAATTTTTCCAAGTTAGATCATCTCAGGGAAGTGAAATAGTGAACGGAGATCTCGCAATGACAGCTACGACGAAATCTTCGAAGCAACCCTAATATTCCTCTCGCGCAAAAGGCTCGTATTTTCTAACGAGGCTCCTTTAACTTTTAAGTGGCTTTCGGTCGCGAAACAATGCGGAAACTTTCCGCTCTTGCCTCGCGTCTTATTTTTATCCCGCGAGTTCTCGTGGCAGTCTTTTTCGCAGAATCGTCCTTTATCCATCTCGAAGTAAGAACCGAACAACCGAATAGGCAAACACGGCTAAATAAAATACGTATCCGATTAACGAATCAATTAACAATACACAAATCCTATTTTACCAACTATGCCATTATTAATGACGTTTGCTACTTTGTGACAAAACTGTTTTGTTGCTACATGTCGATAATAATTAAGAAAAAATACATGAATTATTTTAGGATGACTTCATGATTTTAATTATTTCAGTTTTATCATTCTTGCATCACGTCGTAATGCAATACAGAAAATTAATTACAAATCTTTTTTCTACTGAAGCTGAAAGCTATAAACAGTAATAAAAGCGTTAAAATATTTTTCTTTTAAGATTTGATTGTTTTCCATTCCTGGTAATATTGGAGTCGCAACTTTGTTAGGGTCTTTCGTCTGCATAAACTACAGCGCGCTTTAAAGGACTCTCTAATAGGAATTTTCTGAATCTTATTACGTACCCGTCTATGTTTCTCGTGTTGCAGGAAAACGGACAGCAAAAAGGACGAATGTATAGTGGCGCAAGAGAAAATGCATCCAACCTGCGCGCAGCGCATAGACGGCGCCGAAATGCCAACGTGTCACAGCCTGGCCGAGACTTGCAAAGAGAACAGGAGCTGCAGGTGAGGCAGTGCGTCATATTCACGTTTTTGAAAATTTGCATGTTTCTCCATGAACTGTCCGTACACAACGGATTGTACGCAAACGTAGAAACGTAGAGCGAAGCGCATGAAAAGAAAATCTCGACGAACGAGCAGGAAATTTGTTCGAAACAGACACGTGTATGTGTGTGTGCGCGCGTGTGTGTGTGTGTGTATTCTCGAAACAAATATCTCTAATATTGATAAATATGAGAAAGGACGATTGTTTCAACGTTATTATTTCATCACAGTTGTAACCGATCGCGAATTAAGGATTTTTAGCAATTTTAATTTAAGATTTGCTGTCAATTTCGCTTTAACAAAGAATCCATTGAATATGAAACGATACAAAAATCTTCAGAGATGAAATAGTTTTCCCAGCGCTTAAGCAGATTCATTTAAAGCGACACTCGTGTACATTGTCACCAAGTCCGGAAGGATAAAGGACGCATCGTTTCATCCCTCATAGTCGCACTGGCCCTGCAGTCTGGACGGACGTCCTCTCGACTAAGGAAATATTGCATTAGCGCACGTATAAATCTTGTTGAATCGCGATTTAACTTTAAAATTGAAAAAGTTCCGGCGGAACTGCGAGAAAAAATAAGGGACGACGTGTTTGCGGTGTTTAATCGGGTACCTCTCTGGTTTACTCAGCGAGATAAGATTGCGTCGTTCTAATTGGACATTATTATTTACGTGTCAATTTTGTTCCCGTTCCATCGCACGGCGGCCTTCGCCGCAAAGAAACGTCGTAAAAAATTGCGAGGAACGCAATGATAAAGGAACATTGTTTTGTGCGAGGCAATTTTAGAACTTCGTCAGTAACTCCTCACAGAAAACGAGTTGCGATTTAGTAGCTTGATCGAGTTAATTATCGCAGACGAAATTGTACGAAAATTCTATTTGATCTTACGAAAAGTACTTATATATAAAATATATGAATATTAACCAACGCAGAATAAAGATAGCGTCACAGTTAGTGTGTAATCAAGACTTAATACAAAAATGGATTGATATGTTGGCAAATCACATTAGTCGAAAGATGGGCGCGACATATTTAAAGATTGGTTAAATAATTAATTTTTATAATTTATTGGGGTGAAAGATTTTGGGACATCTGTGTCGAGTAATAAATTATCTGACGATGAGTAATAAAGTAATGTCTTAAATCTTAAAGGACAGCGTAAATGTCGATTAGTGTATTTATAGTTAATTGAATCTGCTCACTCTTCCACTCTGCAATCTATATTTTTATTGTTCGTAAAAGACTATTTCCCTATTTTATTCGAGAACATTATTGTGAGTTATAGATCTCATTATTTTTTCGCTTGCAGTCTATCATTGTACAGTGATTGTAAGAATGAATGTGACACTTTGTTTTTAATGATTTTAGGAACAAGCATTTATAGATTGAAGGTTACACTTCAAAATTTTCTCCGAGGAATATTTTACTCGATGGCTATTGTGAAACTATTTTGAGCGTTTCCGATCTACTTTTCGAATTCTCGATGTCGCTAAAAAAAGGTTGCAACCATTCTGTCCATTCCTGTACCAGTATTGATAAATTAACATTTTTTGCGGGCACAAATTGTATTAAATTATTTTTGCGTCATTGTACGTGTCTATGTCTCTTTTATTGAAATCTGATAAAAATAATTCACAGTTCGTTGAACATACCGTTTTAAATGTCATGGCATATCGATACGCCGATTAATCCGCTATTATTGAACTGCATATAACATATAAAAAATGCAATTTATAATTGGGAGTAGATTGAGAGAGATCGGTTAAGGATTTTATCAATCAGGTATTTTTAACGCAAATTAAGCATTGCAACATTTAATCTACACATATGAAATATTAAACAATTCATTGCATATACATATGTAATCCTATAGATTATATTAAAATATATATTATTTAAAAAAACTAATATAACATATATTTATATATATTATTTTTTGTATAATATAAATATATAAATATATATATAAGTACATCTTTTGTAGGGTATTAACTTAAAAATAAAATAAATGAAATATTGACATCTATTTCGAATTTTTATTTTAAATTGTGATTTTTTTAACGCATAAAAACATCAATCAATTTTTTAATCGTCAGAATTGTTTGCGAACACTAAATTTGTTATAGATTGTGGTGTACAGGGTTTTCAGATTATTCGACATGTCACAAATTGGGAATATATGCAGTTTGTATATCAACCCTTATTTAATGACAAAACATCAAACATAACAGTTTAAAAACTTAAAATATTATGTAAGGGAGTAAAATACACTGCACGTTAATAAATACGTTTAAAAAAACAGCGTTGATAACGGGGGATTAAACTGGATGAAAAGGAGGTGCAATCGTGAGCGATGGAACGTGTACGCGCGCGTCGCTGATCGATTAAATTAGAACGTGCGTGCACGCACGCACGCACGCACGCACGTACGCACGCACGTACGTATGCACGGTTCGATTCAGCGTTTTAATTGATTTATCGCCGAGGGCGAATGAATCCATTTTTAATTTTGCCATTTAGAGGTATCTACAGGCGACACGGAAACGAGCAGTTGCTGCGTGCCATAGATGCACGCTTTACGAGTTGGGATGCATTCCCGCGCTATGAAGCATCTCTATAGCATTTATTTAATTGCTTTCTGTTTCTAATTATTGCTTGAAATACGTCTATTCATTTTTTTTTCGCGACAGTTGTTTGTAAATGAAACGCCAAACGCACAATCAGCGGAATTAACGGAACGCTCTAAGAATCATAGTCAATTAATCATTCATTAAATTATTAATAATCTTTTATGTTTTATACTAATTTAATATTGCTACAAATTATTACTGTACCTATTGTTTTATTCATTTATTTTTGACTTGTGACTTTCGTTGGAAATAGCTTTTTTACTTACAATAATTAGCTTTTAACACACTAAATATAATTGTTATTCCCATAATTAAGTGATTGGTATAAAGCTCATTTATATACCAAGAATAAAATTTTTGTTACATTCTTTGTGTTGTAACAGCTTTAACGCTATGTCTATTGTGTATACAGTTATTTTATTATCTGGTTATTATTTACTCTACGTGAAACTTTGTTAAAAATTTCGCTAATGAACTCGAGCGCTTTTTAAATTTAGACATGTATTTGACTGATTTAACAATTCTTTCGTTGCTTTTATTTTGAAAACGAATAAGAGTACATTTAATTTCTAATATGACAAATACACAAACGTAGTTTAATAGTACGTAATGATCTTATTGAGAAAGCGTGATTCTGAATCGTCATGCAAATTGTCATTTAAAATTATATACTATTATTGAATCGTTTCTATGTGGAGGCAAAATTTATGTTTACTATATATAGATGAGTATATATGGATAATATCAATTCTCACGCCAAAAGTCCTTATGCCAATGAGAACCCAGCCATTGGCCATTGTTGCAATATTAGTCCTTTCGATTATCTAATTCTGATATGTCACTAGTGACCACATAGATATGATACAATGATTGTTAGAACATCACTTACAATTATTCATGCCAAAGATATTTTTGAACACCTTTTCCATTAAAGCAATTAATTGCCTCGAAAATCAGTCAATTTATCAATTACGTCAATTTTACGTTTAATTTATCAAAGCGTCATTTATGCTAACAGCTGATTACTGACGTTTGAACAGAACGTCCACATTTAATTAATGTATGAACGCCAGTTTCTCCGGTATGTTTACTGTTAGAAAAAATGTTGACTTTCTGCTTTTTATTATATATACATATTTGAATTAATTAATTTTACACACACACATTCAACCACATTATAAAAGAAATTAATTGTATGTATACATACATATAATATATGTATAATAATAATTGTCTAATTATAATTAATTGCGTATATGTCGTGTAACAATGACTAACAATATCTTTGCCTTCGATTAAAAATAATCGTAGCTTTCAACATACCAATGTTGAGATATAATTTGAGCATAATATCCTAACGTTTTAATTTTTCTAGACTTAGGCTGGAGTATTACGAACAGAGTTGCGCGGTCGACAGCGTAACGAAGAAATGTGCCGGGCCAACCTCCGAGTGTAGAAAAGCGATGCTGGGCATCCTGGGCACTGAACTTCATACCAATTGCGCTTGTAAGGGCACCGAGCTCAACCAGCTCTACGGCTGTCTAGGTTGGCAGCGGCTTCTGTGGGTGAATCCTTGCGTAGGTAAGTGGAAAAATTTGAGATTTTTATTGTCCGCGTTGACGATAATATAATATTCATAACAGTGGCAACGATTCAAACTAAAAAGTCAATCTTAGGAACTCACAGTGCTTTGATAAATAATGAATACAGACAGAGAAAATTTACTGGAGATATTTACATAAATAAATACATTTACAGATATATTTTATAGATAGAGAAATACTATAAAATTGAATCTGATAAAAATTGCAATGAAAGTATACAATAAAGTCAACATTATTAGGTCCTTTTTTCGAGAATAAAATGAATAATGTCCACAAGAGAAATAACCGTTCTTTAAAACAATTAACCCACTTCAGAAGTAGCGGATATATAGTTTAGGGGAATTATTTGAAAATACGATAATCCCGAAATCAATATCGAATCCGAATATCGGGATTAAATAAAAATAATCGCAAGCTGCACACTGTCCGGTATTGGAATGTTAATTAATATAGACTGATGATACATTGTTCCAATGTTTGACCGGTCTTCGCAAATATTTATCTCACACGATTTCATCAGCATGAAAAAACTATGTGACCGTATTCCGTTTTTCATTAAACGGCATTTCGCAATGAATGTACTTTGCATATATTTATTGCGTATAAAGAATATATTTGTTATCGTTTGCTGTAAGGGTGGTTTATCATATAAGTAATATAAAATATAAAGTAAAACATGAATCTGTTATCTATATTGATATTAGTTATTTTTCGCTGAACTTGAATTCGATTTTTTTAACAAAATTTACCTTTGAACTAAAATCTAATGCAAGTGCATTGTTTCTGTTATGAAAAAGTGAAAAACCACGTTACGTTAAAACTAATTAATAAGAATTTTTTTTATCTAATGTAGCATTTGCACTTAAAAAAATTCAACTTTTAATCTAGTAAAATCCAATAATAATAAGCTGAAAAAATTACAAAAACTTGACTGGAAAATTCTTAATAATTTGTTCTCTGTGATAATTTTTCTTGGGTAGTCGTACATATAAACATTACAGCGTATAATCGGGATAGAAGAGACAAAGCTTTATGAAGCTTTGCCGATGCGCTCGTCATGATGCGTTTCTAACCCGCGGTAGGAGATGCAATTTCTTCATATCTAAATGACTTATCTACCGACTGAATGCAGTCCATTGCATTCGCCATGCTTTACAACTTGACGGGGTCGAGAAGGATCGATAAAAGCCTACCTATGTCGTTTGTTCGACCGATGTAATTGCAATTCTGCGCGTGGCATCGCTATGTAGGTGCATAGATCGCCGTATCGCAAATCTTGTCCTTTCCCCGATTGCATTAGGCTTTTTTTCGTCGTTCCTAATACGAGGAATTGTATAATTAATCACTAGAATATAACTTTAATGCCAAATATAAAAAATAACAATCGTATTCCCTGTTTATTTATAACTTTATATTAAATCTATAATGACATCCTTAAGATATCGTTACAGATAATTATTGACAAAGGCATAATCGGCCTTTCTAAACGGAAAGAGAACCGGTTTATTGTCGTTTTGTGGCGCATTTATGTATAAATGCTGATAAATATAATCTATTTCGCGAAAATAAAAGTTGCAGGTTTGCCGCTGCAGCTCGTAAAATATTATTACGCGCATCTTACGTTCCCTATTATTGCTATACGCGTCCCGCGAGAGGAGAGGCGCGCGGTGCCCCTTGAAAGTGTAATCACCCCGGAGCCCCTCGGTGGCTGAAATATTTCGCAGCAGCTGCGCCAACGGCGATACGGGACCGGGCGACTTTCCCGATACTTTCATACTTCCGCGTCGGATGACTACACGTGTACATTCAACTGCAATTTTACAGGCTCTCCGTTCGGCACTTTATATTGCTTAGCGGTTGTTATTTGCGGCCACACGTCCGTTTCCCGGCGCGCGGTGCGAGCGAGGGAGAAAGTATTATGCCGAAGTTACTCTGAAGCGACGATCCCGATTCGAGTCGGCGATTTTTCGCGCTTATTATTGTGCCGTGAAATGTTACAAGTTGTGACAGAAAGTGAAAGCGCATCCCAGCGCGGATAATCGTAAGGTATTTCTGTGCGAAGGTAGTCGCGCGAAATAATAATCGTTACGATGCACAATAAAAAAATATTTCGTATTTGAGCCGAGCTCTGTGCTCTTCGTCCCCATTTTTAAACCTCTTAACGATGTGCAAAATCTGCGATTTTCGCTGTTCCCACGTAATGAAATTGCAATTCTACGCGTGGCATCAGTACAATGAAAAAAATTTTTCGCTAACCACAGCTAATCATGGTTTGCTAAAAACATTTTGTGTGCTGCCGTGACTATATATTTCTACATCACAGTAAACGGTTTGCTGTCGCACCCAATACAATAGGCACAGTAGCAAAATATTTTGCTACCGCAAATAAAAATATTAGCTGTCCATATTTCACAACTAAAATTTAGTTACCACATGCAGTTTTTAGCTACGGCAGCTCTTTTTCCGTGTATGCGTAGCTGCATAAATCGCCATATCGTAAATCTTGTCTTTTCCCCCCGGTAGCATCAAATTTTTTTACATCGTTTTAAATACTAGTAGTTGCATAATTAACCACCTAAAATCTCTAATAATAAATAAAAAAAAATAACGGTTCCACAATACTGTAATCCTTCTCATATAACCGTTAATTGGTCTCGTTTTAGCGTCGTTTCGAGAATGTTATCGATGTTTACAGTGGAGTCGCAGAAGGACTATCACGCGCGCAGGAAACACCATCATACGCGAACGACGACAGCGAAGACGACGACAACGACGGCGGCCGTCGCGACGACGACGAGGTCGCCGGCGAGCACGACGGCGACCACCGCGGTCGAACAAGTGGAAGATAATCAAATACCGGAAGTGACGAGGTGGCCGACCACCGAACCCACGGAAACTTGGGAAATCACAACCACCACTATAAGCACCACTCCGAGCACCACCACAACCACCACGCCGACACCACGTGAGTGGAGTCCAAACGCATTTCATGATTATTAGTTTCCTACACAATAATTGACCTGATTCTCTCGGATTATATCGGGCGTCCTGCGTTCCGCAAGCTTCAATTGTTTCTCACAGATTTTACTACAACAGCGATTTCATCTAGGACTCAATTGGTTATTACGTATTTAACCCTTTGTGGGATTTGCTCCCCCGGTGGATTTGCCGTGCAACCACCATAACTTACCATACTCTTAACATTTTCCATCGTTATTTCCAATATTTTGAGATTGTAAGGTACGCAATTGAGATTGTTTGCCTCACTTTTGTAAACTTGGGACACACACGCGCGGCAATTAATATTATTTTTCGTATAACTGATAGTCATTTACAAGTATTCGTATGTTATAATATTTATAATTTAAAATGTTTGTGTTCTTTTTAAAGAACACATTTTCCCTTATGTCGGGTCGTAAAGGAATAACGCTGAAAATTCAATTTATCGCGAAATCTTTTGAAATTTACTATGAAATCATACTACCGTGTTAAGTATCGTTTATGCTAGTTTCATAGGTTAATTTTTCAATACTTCTCCGGCGATTTTTCAAACTGCAAATTTCACGAGTCTTGTTTTTTAATCATTATGTCTATACATCTTATACGTCTATATTTTTTAATTCAAGCAGACAACGTCCTTTTTTTTCATAAATAAAACCCCGCGTACCGGTAGCTTGAGAAAAAGAAGAATTTTTAATCTCTTTCGTTTGCCGCATCAGGAAGCAAATTAGATAGATCGCCTCCGGGTGAGATACGTTGGAGAAAGAGGTTGATAAAGGACCGGCGAAATAAACTGGCGAAAAAGACAGCTTCTCACGTCACTCTCTTTATAGGCTACTGCGTGGTTCAAAGGCCGAGACACAGTCAGCAATACATAAGAGAAGGCAAGGGCAAAAGGGTGAGTCGCTCGCAATCTCCCAAGTCACTCGCGATCGCCCTCGCGACGCAAAGCGCTCACCACCGCCACCCCTGACAGCCGACGCTCGCGAGACAAAAAAACAAGAGAGAAAGCGAGGGTTTTGTGGCTGTCATAACGGAAAGAGTGGACGAAGGTGTCGGAGGAAATCGGATATTTAATGCGCCCTAGCGAATTTTATCGTAAAGAATGAACCGCCCGCGATTTCTTCTCGACGTCGCGACGTGTTTCTTTATTAACTCTTTTCATTGACGATAAATTTTCTCGATTCGAAGCAAACTAAAAATCTTTAATTAATCATATTAGGAAATAAACACGTCGATATTTCACTTTTATTCTGGTATCTCTATCGAAGTTTTTGTTTTGCTACATTTATCGATGAATATAAATTACGTAACGTAAAAATGTTGCTTGAGAAAAACGTAGAGCGTAACTGTTACAATTTAGAATACGGATATTTAGATGAGAAATTTCAGATTTTCTATAAAAGTACAGAAAGCATGTTATGTTAACATAGATCCACGGGAGCTTCATATAAAGCTTTGGAAACGAATGTGCGTCGCGAATGAAAGACAAGAATCTGCTGTTATAATTTACGTACACTTGCGACATCCGATTTCAGCGATAACGCAAACCAATAGTGAAACGGAAGTATTAAGTTAGAAAATTATGTTAACCGAAGTCAAATGAAATGAAATAACGTAAGAGCAGCTGAAACCAGAAATTTTGTATTTACACGTACAGAGAATTTTACTTCTCAATAGGTGGAATATTGAAAAATAAGTAACAACACTTTTTTCGCACCCGCGGCAATTTGGGGCACATTGATTGCAACGTTATTCCGTTTGCGTAGCTTTATCGCGAGGACGAGCCCGAATGCTCGGAACTCTGCCACTGCGGCGAGGGCGAGCAACTCGTTTGCAACACCATCTGCGTCGAATTGTCACCCTGCAAGACGGATTTCGCTTACTACAACCATGAAGCGCCGGCCTACCAGGCGCACCGAGGTCCTTGCCTCTGCTATAGCGGCGGCTTTATATGCATGCGGCCTTCACCAGGTGAGTAATCATCCCTTTCATAATTGATGCGATTAAATGGAAGTCAATTATTTAAACGGCACTTTTGCTGAACCGTTCATGAACGAGCGCGACTTAAACGCCACTTTTGGCATACTATATAAGGCGTGATTTGATTGTAAAACTAAATGGAAGAATTAAAGTTTACTTATAAGGGTGTATCTTCTCTTACGCGGTACAGAAAAATTTTAAATCTTGGCAAATTAAGGCCGTTTACTTAATAAAATAATTAACAGATACGGAAGTAAATTGAAAGACAATTGATTGAAATTAACAATAGGTTAATTAACAAATGTAGAAGAAAATCCAATTTTTTGCAATTTATTATTAAATATGCTTGATAAGCACGTTTGATCCTTTTTCTCTTTTAAACTCGACCACGGACTTGAAATACGGCGATTTTCGAGTAGTCCGACAGAAAACGATTTCTCTTCGCGCCATATAATACCAGCATTGTGTTATTTGCGCAGACACATATAGTATACCGCACGGGGTTTTCATGTTCCTGGGGTACAGTGAGAAGGACGAGACCTTATTGAAGCGGCACAACAATGTGACCGTGCTGGACGCGGTGTCGTCTCTCGACAATTTCATGAGAGAGGAAGTCAATAATCAGGTGAGGCGTTGCTGTCACACACCGTTCCTATCGATCGTTAACGCACGGCTGTGTGACACTTGGAAATTGTCGCTCCATAGTTAAACACCGTGCGCGCGGCTCACAGGCTCGATAGAAATTTCCCCTAAATTTCGAAATTTGCGAGTGAGAAAGGGGGAGCCGACTGCCTTGGTACAATTTGCTATGAATTCGGTGACCCAGAGAAGAATTTAAAATCGGTCGATTATTCTCAGGGGGGGGGGGAGGGGGGTTATTACATCCCGCGTTACTCGTTTTTGGCGGCGAAGGAGACGGGAGCGAAGGGAGCGTCCCGTGAAATTCCCAGAATGCAATTAATGCGCAGCATCTCCGATCGGCGCGCGAAATCCCGATAATGAGAAATGTCAATGAGAAATGTAATGGCTCGTCAAACTGCGCGTCGATTAAAAACTAAATCGGGGACGCGCGCGGAATTTAATAAAGCCGCCACGGTTGCAGCCGACGGATGACGCGCCAACGTATCTACCTACCCCAGGTCAACTCTCCCGTCTTCCATTTGCAGACAGTATGCACGCTCTTCCTGTACAACGCGACCCGAGAAAACGTGATTGCGGTGGCACGACTCGGGACCGACAATCCACCCTTAAATAGCAGCCAGGCTCAAAGTCTGCAGCACCTGCTGCGCGTCAAGGTAAGCGAATTTCGAATGGACCCTTTCGCGCTGCATGGAGAAAATTGAAAGCTTTGCCGCGAGAGCTAGATAAAGCTGCAAAAATTTTCGAGAAGCCGCAAGACACGCCCGGCGGATAAGCAGAACTTTATTATTACACTTATTATCTTTCCCAAAGCTCCGAGAGAATGGAACTCTCGGCCATTACTTTTTCTTTCCGAAGGGCATTAACACATCTTAACGCGACGCACTAACCGCTGTAATTTTATATATTGAAGTGTGTAATTTGTACTTTGTAACAATTTGTACTTTCTGATTAGCTTTTTAACTCTTTCTGTTGTTTCTTATCAACACACATGATAGCATTTCTGAAAATGATACGTGTTTCTATTGTTTGCAACATATTTTACGTTACGTTTACATTTTACTGCTATTCCTATGTAATTTGTAAAACATTACAGTGAATGCTATTTTCAACTTTAAGTCTTTATTAACTCATCGCGCTTGGATTACGTGTAGGATTGTACTTGCCGAGTTCATAAAACCTTTGAGGGTCTTGCCAGCGGCGAGAAAGGCCGATCGCGTGAACGACGGCGATTCAATACACGCGCATGCGTGCACCCGACCGGAAGTCGGTGCGAAAGGGCGATAACGGGTCCTCGCGAAAGTTTTAATTTCCCGGCGAATCTCAGCGTCGTTCGGGCGGAATTATCGCGATTAATCCGCTCGTACTTTGCCGAATTTCATCCTTCGCGCTGCGATAGATCTCCGGGCGACTGGGCGCAAATCGCCGATCGACCTCCGGATTATTGCACGCGAGAATGCAGTCTTATACGCGTGTCCGGAACATATAACGCGATCGCTTAAAATGCACACAGGGCGATTAAAACTCTGTGATTCACGATCGACTTACGTACGCGACGTCGCGATTTAAGTATACTCGATATGGTATTACGACCGAATATAATTTTTATACTTCAAATTAAACTACAAAATTATATTATAAATTAAAGAATATTTATATATTAAGAAATACAAGATTTTGAAGTCGGTAACATGTCACAGATTGATTGATCGAATGGATTAAGAAGTATAACGCCTTGCGGAAAACAATCTCTTGGGAAAAGAATTTAGCTAAATATAAAATCTATAGAAACTCTTGTGAATTTTTGCTAAAAATGACTGTGGCAGTTAATTAATATAGCTAATTACCGTCTTCTTTGTTAATGCAATATTTAACAATCCATAATATATTTACCTCAAATATTTTTCTACATTTGCAACAATCATTCCATAAAGTTTAATATTAAAAAAAATATGTATAACAGATGAACCAATTAGGAATACTAAAATGATTATATTTAACCCACATACTGAACATGATTACATCGAAAAGCAATAATGAAGTTTCCTCTTCGGTGAGCATATTCCGCGAATATCGAGCGATGGGAGGGATTTTTATAATAACGAATTCTCAACGTCGAAAAATTCGCACGGAAAAAGGATAGATCGGCCGGCGGAACAACACGCCAATTCGAATCCAGAATACCTCCATCAAGTTGCAAATGGACCGGCGCTTGATCACAGATTGGAAATCGCCCCGGGAACCTGTATGACTGTGTAAAATGCGTGCCGCGAGCTAAAAACGACGTGCATTTAGTGACATACAGGTGTCGAAGAGAAACGTCACGACCGATTGATGCAAAACAACGTTGACGGAAAATTACCCACCGTTCCGATTTAAAAGTTGCGCTAAGAATTTCTCAATGTTATTTTACGAGTCTAAGACAGGATTACAATTTCAAACATCAGAGAGCGAGAGAGAGAGAGAGAGAGAGAGAGAGAGAGAGAGAGAGAGAGAGAGAGAGAGAGAATATTGTGCATTATAGAGATTAATTATGGATTTGGTACAGAATAAAATATCATTCCGAAGTAATAATTTGTAAAAGTATACATCAGCCTTTATATAATGGAGTATTTATACCGTAGTTGACTTGGTATCTAATTGATTAAATATCATACGTTTAATTTAAACTATAATTAAATTATAAAACAGTAAATTATAATTATAGCGCATCCAAGCTAGATATAATTGCAATGTTAATAAACAGACATCTCGACCTGGAATAAGATCGTTTTCAGTGTCGCAGTGTTAAAGCCGGTAATTGCACAGATAAGTCTAGTCGCAAAAGTCTAGTCAGAATAGAAATTGTATTCGTATTTTGTAACCGGAATATAGTACCAAAGTTAGTTACTTTGTAGCTGATAACTCCGCTCATCGAAACGCCCGTCGGGCGGCTTTAAATAACGGCTCGACGGTGAACGTCTGACGGGATTACGGGAACTCGTTTCTGCCATTGCCAGCGGGAAAGATAGCGTGTTTCGATTCGAACGAAATGGTCGACTGGACGACCGTGCGATAGATATACAGATAAATAGATTGCCCGTTCATCCAGCTATCCGGAAGAACGCGCTAAGCAACGAACGCGAAGAAAACGGTGCGTTTAGAAAATTGAGTGGACCCAAGATGACTGTTGTCATGAATGGACGACTTCTTCCCTCCTTTCCACCTCAACGATATTTTTAGAGAACTCTCTCTCTCTCTCTCTGCTACGTATATTAACAAAGAATAACTTAATCTGTATCCAAATCTATTAATATCCAAGTTGTTCGTAAATATTAAATATCTGTTATTCCTAAACACTTTGTAGTATAAATATAACAAGTCTTTATGCGAATGTGCCGGTTACTCTGCTTTCTAATAATAGTTAAGGATTTAGTGCTCTTTATTAAGTGGAATAGCTAATGAAAATATCCAACCATTACGAACTTGTCCGCGCGAGATGTGTCTCAAAATTTTCAGATTCGCATAAGTTTCCCTGGCAGTGGGCCCGCGCGGTTCGTCCCCAATGTCATCTCATCCTTCCCTCCCCCGTCCACCCTGTACCCGTAGACCCATGGGGCTCGTAGCGACGGCGGGCTGCACCATGGAGCGAAAGGGATGGAAAGTTGCATTTTCCCGTGGTGGCTGCACGTCGCGGCTACATACGTCATAAAACTTTGCTAATATAGCGGAGGACTACGGTGCCGTCTTTGCGCCGGCGACTCGAAATCGCTCGTTTCTCTCTTGCCGGTCCCCAGCACTCGTCTTACTTTCTCTCATCTTTCACTTTCTACCCCTCCCTCCTCGCATTCCCATTCCCGCACTCTCTATCTGCCGTTGAGCGGGATTTATGCGATTCGGAGCTCGTGCAAAACTTTACGACTTGGAATATCTCGCTCAAATCATTATTCGAATCACCTAGTCGTTTGTCAGCCAGGATGCAATCGAGTATCTTCCATCGAGGAACGGGTATCGATTGTCTTTAATTGAGCCTTCGCTACCCATCATTTATGCGATTATTATTTTTGTCCGTTTTGCACAATTTTCCCGTAATTATTCGACCGTGATTGTACGATAATTTGACCTAATTTGATATCGATATCGCGTGCTCTTAGATTCTGTGCAGCCAATTACGCTCTTTCAATTAATCATGGTTATATCTACAAAATGCATCGAATTGTATATTTAAATGCCGTTTAATTTAAATTGCCGAATAATTTTTTCTGTTGAACAATTAAATCAATTAAATTCAATGTTCGCTTTTCATCAGGCCAAGTTAGCTGTTTTGAGTTAACTTTAGGACGAAGCAGATACTTTCGTTTTAAATGCTGCAAATATATTATAAACTTGATTCAATCATCTATAAAAATTTTACTTTCTCAGTAATGTGTTATGAAGAATATATTATTATTGTAATATTTATGATAATTTTTAATTTTTAATTCTTTTTAATTAACAAAACTTATTATAACTGTTGAGAAACTCATTTCTTTATTTATCTTAAAATAAGATGATTAATTTACAAAGAAACTGGAACCCATAATTTGGTACATTTTAAATCGCTTGAAAATAAAAAGCTGTAACATCAAAAACGGAATTAACCTGGATCGGCAAAGGTGTGAGGATAGATCTCGAAATCTCTGTATATCGTAAATGGAGCTGACGAATTACTCTCCGGAGAAAGAGAGTACCAATGATACGATCTTTATTCAGTGTGGCGCTAAGTTACCCCTGACGGGCGCAGTTTAATCCCATCTTACGGCAATTCGAGAAACGATGAAAAAGCCGTGGTTTCCCGACGCTCCGCGCCGTTTTTCAATTATGCATTCGCATATTTTACCGGAATGCCTTGTCGCATTCAGCGACGAGCGCGACGACAGCTGCCGGACTGCATTTACCAGGTTAACAATAATTCAATGTCACCATCTTATGCCGGGTATGTACCGGGTGCTACTGCGATATCTATGAATATGGTCGTTGCTTATATATTGCGCGATAGATCTTTAAAATTTTTTAATTTAAAGAATCATACCTACAATGTATATTTCTATTAAAGTAAATACAAAAGTTAATAATAAAGTTAATAGGAATGTATGTACAAATTAGAACAAATAACAAATTAATGAAGTTGATGATTTGTGATCCGGACATGCCAAGTTTTTAAACTTTATTTTGACTTTAGTTCGGTTTTATAAATAGACTAAAAATTTGCTTGAAATCACAAAACGGTTGGACAAAGAAATTAAATGAAAGTTTAATAAAACATGTATAATTCGTGAGAAAAATGTTATTTCCTTAGATTTAAATTTGCCTCAGTAGTACTTGGCTAATTAAATCGATTACTTGTCTATTTTGTAGCTACCAAATTTTTATTTAACGAAGCATGTTTTTAAATATTTTTTCTTAGTGTATACATTTCTCTTTTCTCTCAAAAAGATTTTTTAATCTTCTTTGCTTAAATCTATATCAAGTTATTGTAACTTAAATTCGTTGTTTCAGAATTATAATCGACTAAAGTGCACTTATTCACACCTATTAGTAAATTTCGCGCACTCAAACACATATGCGTACACCAATGTGTTAGTTACTCATCTTACAATTTCAATATAAATAAATAGCTTTACATTTATCTTTTATT